AAATTGGACCCAGGCAACTACCGCCCTGTTTCTATACTTACCTCCATCTCGAAAGTCATGGAAAAAATAGTATATGAACAGGTGGAAAAGTACCTCGCGGAAAATAAACTAATCTATGAATTTCAATCTGGCTTTAGAACATCCCACTCCACTGACACATGCCTTCTTTATTTGAACGACCACATCAAACAAGAGGTGGACGAGGGCAAGTACTGCGGCATGGTGATGCTGGACCTACAAAAGGCTTTCGACACTGTCAATCACCCCATTCTGATTGACAAGCTAAAAGCAATTGGTTTTGATAAACTATCGGTGAGCTGGATGCAATCCTACCTGGAGGGGAGAGAACAGATGGTGGAGGTAAACGGTACTCTGTCCCCCCCCTCCCAGTGAGCTGTGGTGTTCCACAAGGAAGCATATTAGGTCCGTTACTGTTCCTAATTTATGTAAATGACATGTCATCAGCATGGGACTGCAACTTGTTCCTGTTCGCGGACGACTCAGCCCTGCTGGTCTCTGACAGGAGCAGATTGCAGGTTGAAAAAACCCTCAGCTCCGAGCTCGGCAGAATCTGCACCTGGCTCGCCGATAATAAATTATCATTACACCTGGGTAAAACAGAGTCCATTCTCTTCGGTTCGAAACATAATCTCAGCAAATCCGACGACTTCTCAGTTGCAGTGGGTGACATTATTGTCACAAGTAAGAAGGAAATTACATACCTAGGATCTATTCTTGAGGCAAACCTCTCCTGTGACAAAATGGCATCCAATGTAATAAAAAAAGTCAATCAAAGAACTAGATTCCTATACCGGATCTCCTCTCTGGTAAACAAAAACACCCTGAAAACTCTGGCTGGAGCACTCATTCAAGGGTACTATGACTATGCTTGCACGTCATGGTACCATAGCACCTCCAAGGCGCTAAAAATAAAACTTCAAACATCGCAAAATAAACTGGTCAGACTACTGCTTCACCTTTCATCTAGAACTCATCCCTGCCCACTTTGACAACCTAGGATGGCTTAGAGTAGACGACAGAGTACAGCTACTTGCAATGGGCCTGGTCTACAAGATCCACTACATCTCTATGGTACCCATGTACATGTCAAAATTCTTCCCAAAGGTCAAGGAATACCATGATCATAACACCAGAGGGAGCTCCACAAATCATGTGAAACCCAGATTTGGCACAAAAAAGGGGGAATACACGTTTCGCAATTATGCCACATCAAGGTGGAACGCTCTTCCCACAACTGTAAAGGAAAGTAAAACTATACTTGCCTTTAAAACCTCTCTTAAAGAGCACCTTCGGGGGAGAGCATTGCAAAACTGGCCCCGGTAATGGTACAAATCTCAACCTGTCGTTCAATGGACAGCTTCCCCCCCCCCCATCTATGTATATACTCGCATTTTAGACTCTGTTACTAACTGTATATCTGTAGACTTGGTATGTCTTAAATGTCCGGTTAGGATGTATTAGAACGAAATCTAAAATGAAAATTGTAAATAAGCAATCTGTATGTAAAAAACCACCTGTATGTAAATTGTAAATAAGCCATCTGTATGTCAAATATGTCTTATATGTCTTAAATGATATGATTAATTGGAAATGGGGGACCCTGATGTAAATAAGACGAAAGTCTTTCTCTGGTCTGCATCCCCTTAACAATTGTATGTTTTGAGCTGTACTGTACTGTACCCAATATACAAGCTGTTAATAAACTTTTCAATCAATCAATCAATCAGTTATTACGAAGATTACTTCAGGAAATTGCGTCCATAACGTTTTCATTGTTACCAAGGTGGTTGCTAGGGACGCTGCTATCGATATTATTTCTGTTATGTTGTGTAACTGTTTAATGGTGTTATCTTTATTGCTACCCCCTTCCCCGTCAATGTATAGTGTTGGTCCACAGCGCAAACATATTAGTTTAACAAAATCCGCATCTAAAGATACGTCATTTTCCCCTGTGCAATTCCAGTCTCACATCTCAGAGCACATCGTCATTAACAAATATTGGAAACAGACCGAAAACATTTTTAAAAAATTAAATAATACTTTATTCCGAGTGTGCTTGATTTTCTCTTTGAAAGTCATCACATACCGGCATTGTAATACACGGTTCGGCTGCATTAAATATTACATATCTGCCGTAGTTCTGTATTTATAGAGCCCTGATGAGAAGACTTCTAGACAAACATGAGGAACTGAAAACGTGACGTGGATCATAAATATATCAGCCATTAAACAATATCTTACATTTATTTTCACACAATACGTCTCCTTGCAGTATCAACACTAATTCGGCTGACTTTTATATTTGATCCAATTGGTAGATAGGCTGTATTTACACCATAAAGGTGCACAGCTGATATAAAGGGACACCTAGTGGTTAAAGCATGTTATTGAATTTCATTATGTTTATTATTAGATATTAATAGGATCCCTATAAAGTATATTCATTACTCGTTATTCTCTACTAATAGTTAATTAAAGACTGTATATAATGACTATTTTGCACATCCCTTTCAAGATTTCATGATTTTCTAAGGTTTATTGACATAATTATCATATAGGCCTACACAACTATGGTGTAGTTATGCATTGAATGAAAAACTTGGGTCGCAGGTTCCTCAATAGTGCATTACAAGACATCTATCAATATTTGTGCATACCTCCAGCAATGTTAACTATGTTGAAGCATTTATTTTAACTGATATTATACATAATGTATTATACTCTTATAAGATGTATGTAGATATTTCATCTCCGGCCTTGTCCGGTATTGAACAATCAATAAATAAAGAACACAGAATTGTTGAATATAAAACACAGAATTTGTGTGATTATACTAAATGATTTACAAATAAACACCACTGCATATTTAACTGTTACACATGCTGATGTAACGCAAATGTTCCAACTTGGGATCAATAAAGTATATCTTATCTTAAGCTGATCGATGGCTACTGCCATATTTGCAAAATGTGCCTCTGAACCTTGACAAGTGCATGTTTCAGGCTTTTCAATTAATGTAATGTAATGTTATCAATTAACAACAGGGGTCACAAACATAAGACCAGCTGTTAAATAAAGCTCTTCTGACCTTAGCTGGCATGTGTGTATATATATGAATGCTGCCCATTATGGGCACAAGCAATTTTCACCCATTTATTAATTATATGTTTTAAATTTGAGTGTTTCCTATCCCCTAAACCTCCATGTACACAGTTCAATACTGGCAACTTCTTATTATGGGAAATACGAAAACGTCTTTTAAAACTACAACTCCCAGTAGAGACGTGCCATAGATAGAGAACATGTTGCGAAACAGAATAGCCAGCATGTGTAGTTCTGGGGACGGGGTGGGGGAGGGGGGGACGCGGTGGACCCGTTCAAATCCAGTTTTGGACAGTCTGCCGTGATTCCATCCCATTTCAAGTGCTGTTAGAGGCTCGGCGTAACCCTCGGAGCACACTCTCCAATCACAGAGCTTGAGGACTATCACGGGGTTTGTCAAACAGAGCACATGGTGTAGTCCAAATGATAGCTGGGGATTCTGGGTAGTGTAGTGTCTTCTGCCATCCTTTACTCCGAAAAAATATTTGTTTCTCCGAATCGAAGGGGAAAAATACAAAAGCATTGCACACAATTTAAACCAATCAATGTTGTGTAATTAACAAGGATAATCTGGTGTTTTTTAGTTGATGAGTAGTGCAGATATCACTGTAAAATCAATCGACAGTAAGGGGAATACTTACTTCCGGGTGTACAATTCTCCGTTATCCAATGAGAATGGACGCTCACATTGCCTTTAAGGGCAGTCGACACAAACGAACGCCGTGCTTCCATGAGCGTCCATAGAAGCATATGGACATCCCGGAAAGCTGAAAATGGACGCTAAGGCCCCCCCCTTGCGTTGGAAAAAGCCGACAGGGGACTTGACATAACGTCAACATAGGCCGACCTGGGAGTGAGGATGTGTTGTCCAGTGCGACACATGGCAAGACGCAGGAGAAGACGCCGACGCAACAGCGTGAGCAGAGATATACTGCGCAAAATACAGATAGCAGGAGACAGAGGACAGCCATGGTCAGATAGGAAAACATTCAGGATCTGGATCAGTCTTATGCGACAATGGAAACTGAACTAAAGAGAACATTTGAAACTTTAGCAGTCTGCGTGATCTGCCTGTAGGGAGGGGCGGGCCAGCCCTGCGAGTAAAGTAACGAATTACTTTATGTAGAGAACACTCTAAAGTCCTTTACCTAACGAAGTAGTGTAATATATTACTTTTAAAAAAGTGATATGTAATTAGGGCGTTAATAACGCGTTAACGCAACAAAAAAAATTAACGCCACTAATTATTTTAACGCGATTAACGCATGTGTATTTTTTTTCCTCGGCCGCCCCGTAGTTTCAGAGCGCATCGAGTTTAAAATACCATCTACAAGCTGATGCTGACAGCCCCGCTCCTGCCGCCCGCTTGTGGCAGACCACACTTCCACGCTCACCGGCAGGCACCGACTGGCTGTTGGGAGGACCGGGAGGGTGCGTGTATGTGTGGCCCGAGCGAGCGAGAGAGAGACCTTACGTGCATTGTTGTTGTTAGCATCTGGTGCTAGCTAGCTGCGCTAACGGATATGGAGCTGTTTAAATGAAAACAGAGGAGCGACATTTCGCCACAACTGCGCCGATCACTTGACTTTATGCAGGAAGCCAGACAGTGGGACATTGTACGAAAAGTCAGCACACTCAGCATGTTCAGAAGTTGTTGTGTTTAATATTCATGAGAATATTTGTCATTGTTCAAATGATAATAAACATTAGCATAAAGCATATTTGTCCACTCATATGTTGATAACAGTATTCAAAACTTGAAAAATATTCCTCTAAGGTACATTTAGAACAAATAAAAAATGTGCGATTAATTTGCGATTAATCGCGATTAACTATGGACAGTCATGCGATTAAATATTTTAATCGACTGACAGCCCTATATGTAATATATTACATTTTTTTAGTAACGACCCCATCTCTGGTTGTTTTACAGGAAAAGAGGTTGTAAGGCTTCATCAGTCTTCAACCATTCTTTTTTTTGTTACCAATAAAACACACACAATTTCACTATGCTGCGTTTAACTTTTGCTTCTGCGTTTGTCAATTCAGCATTTGTTTCTTCTCAAATCTGAAAGCTAGCATCCAGCGTTGGCTTGTGATAAGAGGATCATTACAAATGTACAGGTAGCTGTTTTTATTTTGATCCAAGGCCAGATGTAAAAGGAAACAGACACACCTTGAGTCCAACAAGTGCACCTTGAGCCTCGTGCCACCACGGGATGTGAGGACTTTGGTAAAAGCTTCTGTGAAAGACAAAAAAGGAAAGTGTTAGTCCAAACCATTGGAGGAGAATCTCCCTCTTTCTCAATTTCAGTCGACAGTGGAAATTCACTGAGGCTTGATTATAGCAGGAGAGAGTGTTGGCTCAGCTGTGTGCTTTAAGAACCCATGATGTCAGAGCCTTATTTTCCTTGGAGGGACTCTCATCAGCTGCATTGTTCCAGGAAACCATGGCCTGTTCTCTGGGCAAAAAAAACTGCCCAAAATGTGGTCCCCTCTTTTTGCACCCGCATCTCTGTTGAATGCAGCACGCTGGCCTCTGGCACAACTCAAGTCTCCTCAGCAGTAACACACAGATATCAGACATCATGCGTGGAGCATCAGTGCATCACATTTCCTTCTGCTGCGCCACTGTTTTATATTTTCAATTAGAAGACAAGTGATAAAAGGCAGCATGTCAATACAGGGAGAGAAACGTATGTGTTTCCCACTGATCATTATAAAACATTTCTGCTACTGATGTCATAGAGCCCATACTTCTAAGGTCTCTTGATGCATAAACACTGTAGGTGGTGTGATTAAAACACAGCAATGGCAACTGACAGGTGATGCAAGCAGCCAATGAAGAAAACTCTCCTGCAGCTTTCCTCAAATAAAACATTTGAACCATTTACGATGCTGAATCAAATCTGAACCAAATTACAACGCATACAAACAAGACCAAATATGAATAAGAGACAGCGCAATCAGTAGTTAAATCAACTTTACTGGCACACGTTGAAGATTTTGCAAGCTTTGTTGTGGAAACATAAAGATTTAGAAAATAATGTTTCTGGATACCCACCGATTTCACATCTGTTGCTCATAAGATTATTTGAATCTTGGCTTTTTTGCTAATGTTCTTTGTTAAAGAATTATGGTAATGGTTTCTAAGAAAATTCAGAACATGGAGAAATCACCGTTACCAGATTATGTCCTTCACCACGGCTCAAAGTTCATTGAATATTCCCGAGTGTGCAAAGGAAGAGGAGCCAAGAAGCTTTGGATTTGGAGGCATTGATTTGTCTGCTGTCCATATCAGTACGTTAATGCTGCCTATATCAGGAGAAATATGGGGAAATGGGAAGGGATATTATCAGGAGAGAAAGAGCGAAAAAGGTTACAACAACAGAGCATTAAGCTCACAAGTTCAGTTGTGCTTCTGCTGGAACGGCCGTGCCCCTGTGGAGTCAGTTCAGTTCTTCAGAAGTCCTCGCCCTCCAACAATAATACTTACAAAATAAAGGCTGACCGCTCCAAGTAAAATCACTTCAGCTGAGTTCAATAGCTATTATTCATGCCCTGGCTCTCCATCCCCTGTGCTACGGCTCCTGTGATGTTAATAAGGTAAGCCTTTTGAGCCGCGAAGAGCTATGTCAACATTAAGACCCTTTGGTTTCTGCTTGCCTCCGCCTTAATATTGTTAGCTGATGATGGTGTGGGAGCTTGTCGATCAAATGCTCCCAAGGCCTGATTACAGAGCTGAAGCATTATCACATTCTTATTTAAATAAATAGTTAGTAGTAGGAAATATGTTTATTTGCCTTCTTGTCGAGAGTTAGATGAGAAGATTGATTCAACCATCAGTTATATATCTCAAAGCTCTCCAATTAACATCTTCTATCATGTTCGTTTAATCTGTACTATAACAAGTGTATGCCATAGAAAGAGAAAAATCTTCAACCATTCTAACGCCTCTGTGACGCTATCCTCCCACCCCGCACATTTCCACTGGATTTTGTGGCACGGCTTTTCTCAATGTGACTTTGGGGGGGGGGGGGGTAAAGCTAATATAGCCACATTGACAAAGCTAACATTGGGAAAAGTTGGTTTTAAGCAGGTGTAATGTTATCTTTGTTCACCAGTGCAGTTTAGCATGTTAGCATGCTAACTCTGACTCTCAATTGTCATTTCCTAGAATGTCCTTTTAAATGTATTTTTCTTTTATTGGATTAGTAAATTATCTTTGGTCTCAGCAGTAGCTAAGGTTTAGAGGCTTTCATTCATGTAAATGACCTTTGTGGATGGTTCATTGTAGGGTATTTTTAAGCCATGTACAACATTCAGAGAAAATTACATTCTTTAACTTATGAAAAGGCGTCTTTAATTCAGCTCTGTCAGTGTATGTCCTCTCACCTGCTGGGTTCTTTTCAGCATGTGGATTTTGATGAAAAAGATTGATGATTATTTCCTGTCCTTTGACCTGATGTGAGCCTTCTTGACGCTGCTCTGTGATCCTTTCAAAAGTACAGCCCTCCATGTTTCACCACCATTATCCATTTGAATTCATCACATCTCTAAACAGACACAATAGAGCCATTCACCTTCTTCCCCACGAAGGAACACCTATCAATGAAATGACCTTTAATCTTCCTGTGACCTTCGGTTTTTAAGACGGATGCACCTCTGCAGGAGACATGACGCTTTCTGACACGTAACAGTTATAATTGTAAGCAAAGAACCCTCTCACTGAAAATATAAAGACGCCTGTGAGCCCAGTATCACCACTCGTCAGCTGAGAGAAGATCAGTCAAACAGAACAGAACTAAACCTTGTAGATACCATGATCTCTGTCTACTCTTTCCTGTACACTCTGGTGCTGTTCTCAGAGCTGAGCAGCCACTATGTCACTGTAGCAATGCCTGCAGCTAAAGACGGAGCGATGGAGCAGGATGGCCTCTTCCTGGAGGATGAACCCATGACTGAGCCCGCCTTGGTTCCCGCTGCCTACAGACGGAACTTTGTGCTGGACACCAACAAGAGGGATGAAGACGGGAGTTCGAAAATCATCATCTTCTCCGTAAGTGTCAAATCGCAGAGCTTGATTTCAAGTTTGAGGTTGTTAACAAATAGCTTCTAACATAAAATACTGTTCATTTTAAGATTCTAACAAGTTATCAACATAGAAATGTTTTAACTTTAAAGTAAAGTATTAGTTTGCAGTTACAAAGCTAGCTTTCCAACCTTATCATTTATATTGCTAAGTGATTCCATTCTTTGAGTTGGTGTGTTTTAAGCAGATGTTCTCTTTGTTACCAAACACAACAAAAGAAAGATATTTTTATTATTTAAAAAGATACTCTTCAGAAATGTATCCAGAAAGCAGAACGGCTGAGTGTTAAGCTGTTATCTTTATTAGTGGTTGATAAATCTCTACTAATGATTTCAACATGACTTTTGCTTTATGGATGGAGAAGTTGTCATTCTTTATTGTTGTGAGCATCTTTTCTTTTGTTATTTGAATGAACCAACCCTTATAATCCATTATTTCTACTTCAAATTAATCCAATCTAAATGTACCGGTTAAAGGTGGGGTAGGTCATTTTGGAGAAACCAGCTCGAGTGCGCTAGAATTTGAAAATACACAGCCGGAAAAAATCTGCCACTTCCTCACAGAGCCCCTCCTCCAACACACAGGAACGCGCACATGACCGATGAGGGCACGAGATAAACCGGGCCGGCTAAAATGATTGGTCGTGCTTTTTACAGCACTACGGCTTCCACAGATGACATTTTTTATGGATTTTTTGTCAAAGCACTTAAGATATTCATTGCTATCGGGATGTTAAGAGCATTCCATGGAATATAACAAAAAGTGTATCTCGAGCCGGTTTCTCAAACTTACCTACCCCACCTTTAACTGGCATAATATTGGTTAACTTATCCCAAATAAATGTACTGTATCTAGCTAGTCTCAGCTTGCACCCACCCACTGAACTCCACCAACACAGTCATGCATCATAACTATTTATGGTACGACATTTCTTTCCATAAACAACCGCAGTAAACTGTAGTTCAAAAACAACAGAGAGCAGATTATCTCCATCCTCTGACTGAACATTTGACCCCTTTCAATTGGTCGCCATCCCCATGTCTACTGTTAAGTCAATATTCCATACACTGCTCTAAAAAACCTTTTACAGCAGCACTGGAAAACTGGTAAAGCTGAGAAAGGTCAAATGATCACAAGCCTATAAAGATTTATTGGAATCACAGTGGGAAGAATGATGATATATCTGTGTTCCCTCAAACGCTTGGCTGCGATGTGTTAAGAGTTTATCTGGCGGTTGTGTCTCCTGTGTGTCATGAACATGGTGGTTATCTCTGCGGTAATGTGGAACAGGCAGCCATGTTGGAGAGAACAAAGCCACCTGGGTGGAAGAAATGGTCCACTGTGATAAAATAAAAAACGGGGGAACACATTTCTTCCATTTGGGGTTCCTGTGGCTTGGATCAGCTGGGTTAAGGCAGATCCAACACCTGTGCTGCCTGCAAGTGAAAAGATAATCTTTAAAAGCTGTTGCAACTGTGATGATCCAGAGTTCAGATCCTGCGGTGCGGAAATGTGTGTGGTCTTGAAGTGTCACATGTGATACTGATCAATGCTGTGTTTCAGGACATGGGGCTGAGAGGGCAGAACCCGGCCTTCGCCCACAGCTTTCCTCTGCTCACAGACCGAAGCGTGAGTCGCACCCCCGCTGAGCACATTTTGAAAATTGACCGCCGAAACACTGACCTTGACAGTAAGTACCTGCCAAACCCATGATTGTGTATTATTGTGAAGATAAGATTTAGAAATGTTATACTCCTTCATATCTGCTTTGTCTATTTTACAAATATTTTTACAATATCCCTATGGTAATTTGTATATCTATTATTTAAATTCACGAATGTAAAGATTTCTTAAAATTCTAATTTTTTTTAATACATTTTCTTTGAGAGATGCGGGTTGTTTCATTGGGTATTTTTTTTATTCCACTATTTGTGGAATACATAAAATCAGGATCAAATGTCTTGATGTTCATATTAACTTTTGCTAACTGTGCTAACGTTCTTTATTTTTTACTTCTAGTTATGCGATGTATGATAGGAAGAGTGTACCGACCCTGCTGGGAAGCATAAAGGCTCCCTCCACCCCACCCCGAGCTGCCCTCCTGCACTGAAAGTGCTGTACAATTTCTTCTTTATGTTACACTGAAATACATTCCCTTGTTGAAAATGAGAGCTCACAAACATGTAAAACAAAATAAAAGTTTATTAAAAGTGAAAAGTCTGCATCTTATTTACATACTTGATTTTGCGGAGGAACAAGTTAAATACACTTTACAACTAGTGATATAAATATTTCAAGTAGGACTTTTCTTGATGAAAGAAAATGTACTGGCCAAGTTTCCAATGATCTGCTATCAACTGATAAACCCACATGTTTCACTGTTGAGTGGGTACATTAGTGAGGATACCATGATTTGCATAGTAAATCAATAGAAAATTAATGTGCCATGATTTTCTCAAAACTAACAGAATGTCTTAAAACTTTAAAAATGATCTATATGCTAAATGCTACGGGTTGTCAGTTAGCTTAGCAAAGCTCTGCTCTATGCTATATTAGCGTAAAACCTGCTAGCTTCGAATTTAACATACCGTCATCCATCTTTGATCAAGTTAACAAACATTTTCCAAAAGGTATTCACTGAAATGACAGCTAACAGATAAACTGAGACTGAAAGTAATGATTAGTTGCAGCCTTAACTGGAACATTCACACACTGAATAACATTTAGCTGCATCATAAAATGATTAAAAATGATTCATTAGACCCTGAAGAAGCTTGTAAGCTTTCCCTGTCCAGCTATCAGCTTCTTCTTACTCAAGGCCTTACTGACATTCTTGCCAGGCATTTTGACTGAGACAGCAGTGAGCTGTTTCTTCTCTGGGGGCTCGTTCTCCGACCCTTCATGTTGGTCAGAATCCACCTGCTTCCTCTTGTTGCCCTTTCCCTGCGCCTGAGTGCCAGTTTTCTTTTTAATGCCCGGGCCGGCAACTCTTTTTTGGGTATTTCCACTTCTTGGCCCAAGAACAGCCCCCTGCTGCACACCGCTCTGCTCCTTATTCAGGCATTCAGATGTAGACTTGGCTGGAAAGATTGAAACAAAGCAAAAGCAAGTGTGACAACCTGGTAGAGAAAAACCGGGGGAAATGCTGTGACGAATTTGCTGACGTTAGCCGCTAGTGGAGGCAGGCAGTGTGTTTATTCTGTGGAGCTGAAATGTAACATTTGTCATGTAACTCGATGGAGCTGAGCCTGAATTCCCACGGAACAAAAGACAGAAGGGGAAATGGGCAAAAAGTCTGTGTGTGTGTGTGTGTGCTTTTGGGTTTTTACTAGTTGTGGGTGTGAGCAGGTTTTATAGAATGGGGATTCGTTTAATGGGTAAGTACCAGTCCCAGGGCCGGGGCTGTGAAAGGTTCAAGGCTGGAGCTGAGAAGGCGTTCCCGGGCCTCCATCCAGCTGTGTGCGTCAGAGGAAACAGAAATCTATCCCAGCAGAAAGGGAATGCTGCACCGCTTGTGTTGACATTTTAAGCTTTTCTCAGCATGTAGTGGAGCACAGAAATTACTATAGGATTTGAGGAGTTTAAGCTTGAGTTTGTACCTTTGGTTTTGACCTCCGCATCAGAGCTGCACTCCTTGTCCACAGGGGGGGTGTTTTTAGGTTTGGGTGCTGGGTGCACACAGGTGGGCATCTGGCTGCTGCTGGGGAACTCCAGCACACGGTTGAGTGGCAGTTCTTCATCCTTGTATGTGCATGAAAACTGGGATCGAAAGACCCCCTCTTTGGGCTGGATGAACAGAAAGAAACTTGTTAGTCCATCTGATATATTGTCACATAGTTGATGATCATTATCAATGGCTCAATGCAGCTGGCCCAAATCTCCCTAATTCCCGGCTTTTATATTGCTGTTTGAAACCAAAAAGCCCCCTTGAACACACTGCTATTTCAAGAATGTCTAAATAAATTAGATGGCAGGGGATCCCCAAAGCCCTTAAAAGTCATCCTCCAGGAACATTGAATATCTGTGCTATTGTCAACAGATTTCACCTAAATACAGAAATGTAAAATGGTTGTTGATCAGTATAAATGACTCTGGACTTGTGGCCAAGTACATGGCAGTCACATTATACTTTTATTTTGTTGTTCTGAAAACAGTGCTCTCAAAAAGAGAGGATGGGGCAAAAACGATATATATATCAAATATATGTTTTATCTTATGTGAGACTTTACAACTACAGTCCACACACATTTCTATTCAGGAAAAATAAATAAGAAATTATTTGAAAACCGTGATAATGCCGTTTTCAACCTCTAAAATATGGAGTTTCCTGTTTTTGTTTTCTTTAATCATTTAAGAAAACCGGGCTGGAAATGTTTTGCCGAGACTCAACAATTAAAATATTACTCATTAGTTATGAAAATATTTGTCAGTTGCCTTACTCACTGATAAGTGACAGTTCATACACTAGCCCAGCATTACAGCACTTAAAACAGGACATTCTGTTTCTCCAATCTTATCACAATTACATGTCTGAGACAGTAGAGCAGCACCTCATTAAAATCCTCTTTGGATAGCCTAGTTGGTTATAAGAAAGTGAATGATACCGAAGGCTACAATCCTGGCCCTGGGGCACGCAGATCCACAGCTTTACAACCACTGTTTGATCTACGCCTGCTTGGGATTATCACAATCCAAGGATTTCACCCTTCAGGCCACAGTAGGGAGGGAACATTCTGAGGGAAAAATACAGTGAACAAAGCTGGGTGGGTCCATAAAGCACAAAAGGGATCAAAGCCTTTGTGCTTTTCAAAATAACTTCTTAAAAAGGAGCACCTACAACAACAGCTACCCTAGGAACAAGGCACACTTTAATAGTGGAGCTAAAAATGTATGCTGCCCTGGTTGCATGCTAATAAAACATATCTGGAATGCCCCTGAAACAATGGGAGGGGACGGAAGAGTGAACACAGCCAAACTATGACTGACGGATAACGTCTAATCCAATTACAACAGGTGGGAGCGCAACATGGCACCATGTGGTCAGAGAGCCCTCGTTGGGGAGGAGATGCCTGTCATTAAATAACCTCCGCACACCGACTGACCCCACGCTGGAGACACCTGACCAACACATTCCTGATGTACTTCCAAAACAGGTGCAAGCAATTTCTGCAGCTTTGCTTCTTAGGTATATGAAGTGAGAACATGTGCACCATTACTATTATCACCATCAGAGACCGATCCCAGATAATGGAATGGATATTTTCACAAACACCTTCACTGACGTCACAGAGGAGCAAAACAAATAGTTATATCTGTGTTTGGATCGTCTGTGGCACAGAGACAAGGATTTGGATAGGTTCCAAAAGCAGAAACTAAATCTGTCCATCTCTGTGTGAGCCAGTTGACGTCAGTGCATGATGAAACCGCTGGAGAAGTCTGGGATGAAGTTGTTCAGCAGACAACAGGAAACAATAACCTTTCAGGTTTTCCCCTTGCTAGTCGAATTACGCGACTGATATGGCATCTTCAAAGTGAAATTGATGCAGAAAGCTTCCGCTCGCAGAGTTCAGGAAGCGGTGAGCTGCCCAGGGACCATTACAGCGCACTCAAACAGGAAGGCGGCCAGATTGTGGGGAGCTAAAATGACATCTGCTAGCGCAATCAAATAAAGGAGCCATTTCACAAAATGTGTTTAGCATACATGTTCAAAAAGGAGTTCACATAGTGAAGCTGCTTTACTTCAAAAAGACCAGTCCTACCTTCAAATCTAAAGCAGGTCTTGTCAGTTGTTTTTTGGGTGACTCAGCAATTATGGAGTGTATACAGTGGTGGAAATAAGAAGCATGAAGGTCGATTGATTTGTTTTCCCTTTACAAAAACCTTGATTTAAATCCCTTAAAAAGCATTAACTAATTTAGAATTGTACATTTATAACATTGTGGGACATAAAATGAACTCGACTTAAACCTGGTGCCTACATTACCCATAATGCAAAGCCAATGCTTCCAGACAGTTTGGACATTGAGGTGTGTTATGATAGTATCCACTTACATACAACCTTTTTCATAGTCCAATGTGCAAAACTTGTGTTTCCTTTAAAACCAAACAAAAAATTATAATATTCTTTTGTAGACAAACTATAATCATGTCAAACCAGTATATTTCAATACTGCAATTTTCTGTATTTTAGTTAATGTTATGCTTTTACTATAGGCATCAGTTTTGAAATGACAGCATCGGTCGACCTTTTCGTGGAATATTATACGTTTAAGTGGTAGCAGTACCTTAAAATGGTAACTAGGTAAATGTACCAAGTTACTTAAACCATTTAACTGTATGCAAAGAGTTGCAAGTGCTAAATCAATTCGGATGAAATGAAACCATTTACATAGATTGAATTGCTAAAACACATCAGTTAAGTTGGCCCACTGTTTTTGCAACCAAGGCTGCATAATCATAGTGACAGATTCTCTCACGCTGACCTAAAAAAATATCAATGAACAAAAACAGAACAGCTGAGCTTACAGCCAGGAAGGAAGAGGGAGATATTGATATCAGATATACAGTGTGTTATATTGTGCACTGTAAGCAAATGGACCAGAGCCGGAACAGGATAACTTATCATCAGGACTGGTTAATGGTTTGAATCCCCCACGAATAAGTCGTTTTATGCCACGGATTTAAACGGCACCCTCAAACCAACACTAAGAGCTAAAACACAGCTGTGCAAACGGGAACGGTAGAAGTCAGTTAAGATGTGAGCTTCAGCTAAGCAAATAAATAATATAATACCAGGGAGAAATTACAGGATGTAAAGACATTATTTTCAGTGTTTGTACATCTGATTCAATTTGTAGTAACTGATGGTTTGGATTTGGGGCCCATGTTACCTTGGGTTTGAGCAGGTCTAGCCGACTCTGGACTCGGTTCTTAAGAGGCTCTGGAGAGCTTCCAGATGACAATTCAGGGGATCTGAGGGGCAAAGACAAGAGATTTATGAGTTAGAAAGTGATATGGTCCTAAAAACTGTTCTGTTTTCATTTCAGCTTCATAAAAAATCATATTTCTAACAGGAAAAATATGTTCTATGCATAAAAATATGTTTTTTATGCCTCGCCTCCTGTCCTCACAACTCTTATTAATCCCGGTACCGGACAATTGTTATTTGTTCCTACTCGGAACCGAGTTTTGCTTCCCAACCCTGACACTTTGCTACA